CAGTCTTTTTTTGCATGTTAGTATTGGATTACTTTACATAAAATGTAAGAAACGTATAGGAGTAACGTCCTATCCCTTGTACTATTGTTATATGTTTTACATCTACATACACAATACGGTGTTACCATTATTTTGCTTTTAAGCAGCCATTTGTTTCGCAAAGAGATGGAAAGGAATAATACAATCTCTTACATTTACCCACATGTTTGTTTGTCATTTTGGTGTCTCTATTTTTCTACAACTGAGTTTCCGTCTGGTACCATTTCCCTTTAGCTTGAAGAATATCCGTTATAATTTCTTAAAGATCAGGTTGGGTGGTGAGAAAGTCTCTGAGACTTTATCTGAAAATGTCTTAATTTCACCCTCATCATTTGAAGGATATTTACTTTTGTTGGTTATAGAATTTGGGGTTGACAGTTATTCTTTTCTTTCAGCACTCTATACATTTTGTTCCACTATCTCCTCCTCCTTTTAAACTGAGGTATAATCAATATACAGCATATTAGTTTCAGATATTCAGCAAAATGCTTCAGTATTTGTGTGTGTGTGTGTGTGTATAGTATGTATGTGTATATGTGCATGTGTGTATGTAAATGATCACCACAGTAAGCCTAGTTAATATCCATCACCATACATAGTTACAGCTATTAGTTGTATTATTTTTCTTCTGTATGTAATGCGTTGTTTTTCGTGGGCTGCTTTCAAGACTGTTACTTTCTGGTTTTCAGCATTTTGACTGTGATGTGCCCAAGCATAGGTCTCTTTGTTTTGATCCTTTCTGGGGTTTGCTAAGATTCTTAGGTATCTAAATTAATATTTTCTACCAAACTTGGAAAAATTTCAGCCATTATTCCCTCAAATATTTTTTTCTTCCCTATTTTGTCATCTTCTCTGAGGACACCAATTACATGTGTGTTTCATTGCTTGTATGGTCCCATTGAACCCTTAGGCTTTCTTTTCTTCAATCAATCTTGCTCTCGTTCTCTGTTTCCTGTTTGTTTTTCAGGTTGTAAACTTAAAGAAAGGCTTAATGAATCTGGGCACAGAGCAATGGAAATTATCTGATATTAAAGTTATCTAGTGAGTTTTTCATATTGTACTTTTTAGTTCTAGAATTTCTGTTTGCTTCTTTTTGATAGTGTCCATCTCTCTTCTGAAATTACCTATCCAGAGAATTCCCTGGTGATCCAGTGGTTAAGACTCTGTGCTTCCACTGCCGGGGGCCTGGGTTTGATCCCTGGTTGGGGAACTAAGATCCCACATGGTGTGTGGCAAGGCCAAAAAACAAAAACAACAACAACAAAAAATTACCTATCCATTCACTTGTTATAACCATATTTTCCTTTAATTCCTTGAACATATTTATAATATTTGTTTAATAGTTCTTATCTACTAATTCCAAAATCTGGATCATCTCAGGGTCTATTTCTAATGCTTGTTTTTTTTTTTTTCCTCTTGATTATGGGTCAAATGTTCTTCCTTCTTTGCAGGTCTAATAATTGTCTTATTATGTTGGGTGTTATGAAGTATACATTATAGGAAGTCTGGATTAAAGGTTATTTGTTCTGATAGGGAATTCCTGGTAGATTGGTCTTGTTAGGATTGGCTTATTCATTCTTTCTATCTTTCTGTTTGTCTTGTCTGTCTATCTGGGGCAATTATTTCCATTTTGAACTTAGTCCAAGTGCATGGCTCTACTCTACAGCATAAGGCATGGCCTTCCTGGCAGCTAAGTGAATGCCTGAGGCGCTTAAGAAGAACTCTTTCTTCTAGGTAGGCAGAAACTCTAGTCTCCTGGCGTTGGCATGACCTCGCAGAGGCTTCATGGTGTCCGACCCTGCTCATGGACAGTGAAGTTCTGGCAAAGTTCCTTTGGTAAATCCCCACAAGATATTCTGGGTCTACCCTCTGCTATTCCTCCCAAATTCCAGCCGTTTCTGCAACTTAGAACAGTCATCTCTTCCTCTTCAGTGCAGTGAAACTTTAGTTTTGCTTGGGCAGAAGATACCCCCAGGCAGAAAGATAGGCCAGTCCCGGGCTCTCCTCTTCTCTAGGCTTACAGTTCAGCCCTGCTTGTCATTCAGTGCCTGAAAACAGCTGCTTCTTATATTTTGTCCGACTTTGCAGTTTTACAATGGCGGGCAAGTCCAGTACCAATTATTCTTTCATGGTTGGAAACAGAAATCTGGCGGTTTGCTTGTAAGCTGTGTCTTCTCATTAATAATATTACTGTCACTTCATGTTCTGTTTTTTATCCTGTGTGGAATATGACTGATTTTCTTTTGACAGATCCTTGATTTCTGTGTTGGCTGCAGTGTTTTGTGTTTTTGTTTTGTTTGTTTGTTTTTAGAATTTAAAACATATTTTAGGGCTTCCCTGGTGGTGCAGTGGTTGACAGTCCTCCTGCCGATGCAGGGCACACGGGTTCGTGCCCCGGTCCGGGAAGATCCCACGTGCCGCAGAGCGGCTGTGCCCGTGAGCCATGACCGCTGAGCCTGCACGTCCGGAGCCTGTGCTCCGCAATGGGAGAGGCCACAACAGTGAGAGGCCCGCGTACCGCAAAAAAAACAAAAAAACAAGAAAAAAACCCCCATATTTTAATGAGAACACTTTCTCACCATCTTTAAATAGAAATGACTTGCACTTTTTACTCTGAAGCTACGAGGCCATCAGGACTTATTCACTTCCTGGTCTGTGGGGTTCTGAAGCCACCCCACCACCAGCTCTGCAGTGCTCCTGAGGCACGTGCTGGACATGTTCTCCTCTGTTGGGAGACCCTGTGGCAGCTTCAGGGGCTTGATTCTTATCAAATGTTTAACCACTTTCAGTTTTGCATTCACCGAAGGGGTATTCTTGTGAACTTCAGGAGTATGTGCTTTTTGTAACCTAAGAATCTTTATTATATCTTTCTCCCAATATGGACGTCTTTTTGTAGTTTTTATTCTGGCAACAATATGTGGTTTATGAGGTTGCTCTGGATCCCCACCATATTTTTCATGATCTTCAGGTGAAGGCTGGAAAACTTTATCTGGAATTCTTGACTTCACAAATTTGTGATGAATCCAGTCTGTACAAACAAGGGGCTCCACACCTTTTGTCACCATTTGTAGTCTGCCTGGGGGCCTCTGAACTATTGAGCGCAAGATCCCTGCCATGAGTGTGGTGACTGTTCTCCTTAGGGACAACAATTCCTAAATGTCTTTCAGCCTGAAGCTGACCACTCAGGGGAACTGGAGCAGAGAAAAGACTTGTTTTTTTTTTCCAATTAATTGATTAATTAGTTAATTGATTAATTTATTTTTGGCTGTGTCGGGTCTTTGTTGCTGCACGCAGGCTTTCTGTAGTTGCGGCAAGCAGGGGCCACTCTTTGTTGCGGTTCGCGGGCTTCTCATTGTGGTGGCTTCTCTTACTGTGGAGCACAGGCTGTAGGTGCGCGGACTTCAGTAGTTGTGGTGCACGGGCTCAGTAGTTGTGGCTCGCGGGCTCTAGAGCATAGGCTCAGTAGTTGTGGTGCACGGGCTTAGTTGCTCTGCGGCCTGTGGGATCTTCCCGGGCCAGGGCTTGAACCCGCATCCCCTGCACTGGCAGGTGGATTCCTAACCGCAGCGCCATAAGGGAAGTCCCTGGCTGCAGTGTTATAGTTGATTCATGTTAACTTTTTTTGTTCCAGAACCAGCCTTTTGGTCCATCAATTCCAATTATGTGCAGTTGTCTTGATTTTTTTTGATGATCAGTTTAAACTCAGAGTTTGGTACACCATTCTGCCTTCTTTTAGTTGTTCAAATTAGGGATAAACTAGCTACTTCTTTAAAATAAGTATTTTCTTCGTGAGGGATTGACATGTATTTGTATGTAAACTAGGCTTTAAGACTATTTTCAAGAGAGCTTTCAGTAATTAAGGCACAATATGGTTTCTTTCTTTCCTGTAGTGGTATATCCCTCCCTCCCTCCCTCCCTCCTTCGCTCATATTTGCAAGGCATTTTTTACCTTTCAGAGTGTTTTCAGTGGCCCTTTGCTACCATTCACACATCTCTACTGCACAGTCTGGTTACTTCTTGACTGTTTCACTGACCCCTAATTCTCCTTTCTTCCAAAAATCTCCTGGCCAGTCACTTACTCAGTTTAGTTTTCCTAAAGTTGAGTTTCTCTAATGTGAAAAACATTGACGGTTCCGTGTTGCCTTCCAAACTCTTTAGCTATTTCCCAGACCACCTTTCTAGCCAGATTTTGCATTTTCCCTCCCTGGAGTCTCTGCATGGGTTTCTCTCACCCACAGTGCCCTTCCCTTCTCTCCATATACTTTATCCTTTTCGTCGTCCTAGCTCCTCCCTCACCATAGTGTCACTTGGTAGAAACCTTCCCCAGTTCCCTGTGCCACTGTATTTACTGTTCACTTCACACCTGAATGACAGGTGTTGGCATATATCTTGTCCCATCTCCAAAGACAAGAAGACATGACTATCAGTAAATATATCTCCAGGAGCACCTGGTTTCCTCCACATAGTAGATAAACAAATCTGCCATTCACCTCTCATACGTACCCTATGATCTTATGCACGGTGAAGAGTCATTTCCGTTCAAAGAATGAGGAAACTGAGAATACAGTGTTGAAATGATGTCACACACAAAATTAATGATTGATTTGCAGGCAACTTCCCTGCTTTCATCTAATATGGCCTAAAATTACTTTAGCTGCCTTCTAAGTATGAACCTACATCCCTTTATATTTTGGGCATGTCCAGATTCATCAAAAAAAAAAAAAAAAAAAGGTGGGAGATTTTGCGTCGGCCTCTGTTTGCTGTCCTTGTGGGCATGGCTGTCGCCACATTGAGGAGTCAAAGGGTGAACATGGGTTCCTAGAGCCCTGCTGTCGGGGGTCATGCTGCTTGTCCTGACACCACTCAAGACCCCATGAAAACGTGCTCTGTTTTGTTATGTTCTAAGAGTGACTTGGTATCACCGCAGGGATCCAATTCTCTGTTACCCTCTCTTGTTTCAGGCACTTTGCCTGAGTAACTTGGCCATGGGGAAGACCACCACAGGCCAGATAGTCAACCTGCTGTCCAACGATGTGAACAGGTTTGATCAGGTAAGCTGACCCTGGGGGATCCTTTTCCATTTCCTGTCCTTACGATGTTTAGCTTTTTTGGGATGCCAGGTGGCCAGGATTCTTTTGAAGACATAAGACAAAGAGTTCTCTTCATTCAACTCTCATTTCTTCTGTGTGCCCATTAGATGTAACAATGTGTATTGTCCTTTAGATGAGAATTTTATTTTTCTAATAATAAATAGGCAGCAGTGTTCTTGCCCAGCCTGGTTAGCGTCTCTAAGGGTGCTCCTGGAGTGGCCCTTCTTGACAGGGGCTGAATTCTGGGGCGGACTTTGAGGAAGCCCTGAGCTCGTTTGTGGGATGGACAAAACTGAAATCTTCCTGGCACTGCCGGTCCTCTTCTGCCTGGACGTCCCTGAGCCTGGCCCTATGCTGTCCCAGACAGCATCACCTGGGGTGGATACTTGATTTCTGCTTTAGCAGGTTTAAAACCCACTGTGATCATTTCTGTTTAGGTTCCTGTCTGTTCTTTGACCGAAGATTGTTTCTAAATTGTGTCCTCACTGGTCTGGTTTTTATACATTCCTAAGAAGGCTTTGTTTTTTTTCTTTTAAGGTAACGATATTCTTGCACTTTCTGTGGGCAGGGCCACTGCAGGCTATCATAGTGACCATCCTGCTCTGGATGGAAATAGGAATATCATGTCTTGCTGGGATGGCGGTTCTAATTATTCTTCTGCCTTTGCAAAGCTGCATTGGGAAGTTGTTTTCATCACTCCGGTAAGAGAAACACTGGTGTAAAAAAGTGTTAATATGCAACTGGTAACATCCACCATCTGCTTGATGCTTTTGTTCAAAAACAAAACAAAAATGCCTTCTCTGGTCTCTTTGCATGTGTTGCAGACCCTTTAGGCTTAGCCAGTAGATGCTCCAGCCTTAAGCTGAAGTTTGATCCTGAAGCGGGAAAGGTGACAGCATTCGCTGGCTCCTCCCCGCACCGTACCTGAACAGGTAGAGTGTCCTTAAGCGGACTGTACATTGAATAGTGTTATTTAAGCATTATTAAATAGTAATGATCTTACAGGCTCAATTGCATATGCATCTATTTTTGTTACGCTTGTGTTAGAGCCATTTTCAGGTGTGTATATGTTTGCATCTTGTTTTTAATTCAATGTTTCCATTAAGCCCAAGGGCAAGATCGATCTTATTATAAAGCCCCACATTCCTAGCAGCCTATGTGATAGAAAAGTGGCTGGTGATGAAGAGCCTAATGCTGATTAGTTAGACTTGAAGCAGGTCCCAGAGGGTTGGAGGTGGGTCATTGTGTAGGTTGTCAGGTGATGGAGATGTTGTGCTGTTTGAAGCTCATTGAGTTCTTGTGTGTGTGTGTGTGTGTGTGTGTGTGTGTGTGTGTGTGTACCTTTCGT